ACGAATCTCATCGGACGTGTGTGCAAGCACCCGAATTAATTATACGATGATTTAACGAAGCACTCGACTTGGTCTATTTTACACGACCACGCTTCCGATTCCGTCGATCGCGTGCTCGAGAGCCCCGGCGACCTTGATCGCATCCTTCGATCCTTCGATTCTTTGACGTGCGTGCAACACGGACCGTGGAAGCTCGTCTTTCGCGAATTATATCACCACGTGACGGACCACGTGGCGATCAACGGGAGATTTCGTCCTTGCGACTCCACTGACGCGTCTGGGAATCCGCGAAACGAAGGGGAATGCGTCCGTGAAGAGGTACGAGGAAGAGAAACGTCGCAACAGGGGAGCAACGTTGCGTCGTCGTCGTCGTTGTTATCGTCGTCGACGTCGTTGTGGAAGAGAGGAGAGAAGAGGGCCACTTTTCAGACGGTTCAATAGATTTCGTACTGGGCGACCTTTTTCTGCGTTCGAAACGAAACGAACAATAGGGTGGACGGAAACCGTGACGAGACGGTAGGGTTTTCAAAGGTATATGCCCGCATCTCTAACGCACGTACCTACCGCCACGGAATTTCGACGGTTGCTGCTCCGTCAGCTCCGTCTATGTCGTAGAGCTAATGCAACCGGAGTCGATTGCGCCGAGACGATAATTAGTTGTTAATATCGGTTATTGCACGATGGTACCGACACATGAGGAGAATATTCACGAGTCGAAATTTCGGTTCCACATTAATCTCGCAAATTATGTGCAACCTGCGGTATTAATAGAGAATCTCGAGCTGTTGTTCTACACGGAGAAAAAGATTTTTTTGGATTTAGTATACGAATTTGTTGATTTGCGGGTTTGTTTAATATAGATAACACAATTTAATATAAAATATCACTTTGTTTGAGTGAAAATACTGTCTAGAGTATATTATATTGATAGAAAGACTAGTATTTTCGAGAAGAAATAATATTTGAATTTCAATAAAAGAAAAATTTATTTTAGTACATATTAAATATTGTTCTGTTGAAACAAAAAATTCTTCAATATTTTTCTAACACAGTGTTACTTTTCCAAGTAATGTATTACTTGTGACACAATGTAATGTATTACTTATAGTGTAATGCACTAGTTCAGAAAATTACTCGAAAACAAACAAATCTAATTAAAAGAGCCATACTGCATCTGAAAATGGATTACGAGTCTTATTTTTAATTTTCCAACATGTTTTTTTTTTACTTTAGTCTTTATCTTTTTTAGCTTATTATAATATCGAATCTTATCGACACTGCTGGGTACGCGACGTATCTTTGCTTTTCCAATTCCTTCCTTCTTATTTATTTTGAACCTTTAAATCTTATCGAAGTTTCCATACGCCCTTCAATGAAAAAATAACAAACGGATTATGAAGAAATATTATCATTCGATTTATCTCCATGAATCCTATTATTTATCTATATTAAATAACTAATATTTGCTTACCTCACATACTCCAATCGCGCAGCTGAATAAGTTATATAATTAATACAAAAGTACACATTGTTGACTAAAATTAAAAATAAATATCAAATACAGATGGAATATTGAAATAAACAAACGTTAAATAATCCCGAAATCAATTTTTTTTTAACATAAAGAAACATTTCCGAATATTAGGTTACTAAAAATGCTCATACATAATCTGAAATTTCCTATAAGTTTTCTTCTCATCTTTTTCCCCAAGCCTTAACATCAGAACAACAGCTTGTAACTTGTAACATCAAAAAATAATAGTCTCTATAAATAATACTGTACCCAAATTTTTCTATCCTCAGAGTCTGAAATCTACAGACTTAACGTTGGAACCGAAAATTCGACTCGGGCGTATACTTACGGCAGGATTTCCACACAGAAAAAAGAACAACTAGACGCGTTCTGCTTGAAGAAAACAGAATTTCTGGTTCTTATAAGTCAAATGTTCTAATAACCAGAAATTCTGTTTCCTTCAATAAAAATGCACAAAGTAGTTCTCTCTCTCTCTCTCTCTCTTTCTAGTCAATACAACCAAACTTCTTTTTCCGTGCAAGGTTGCTCCGGCTACCCTTTCGTAGGATAACGCCGGAATCGATCGCGGTGACGATTTGGTTGCCGTCATTAGTCACGATCGTTCGAGGCCGCGAGATGCGTGCTAAGGGAAAATCTCGCAGAATCCACGTAGTTGCTTTGAGGAAACGCGCATAATTCGCTGCGTGACGAGGAAGGATCGGCCGGGCGTTTACGCAACCGATGAAAGTTTAGATCGGGCAAGGTTTAAAATCCGCTCTTTTTTTTCTCACAAACGAGCCTTCCTCTGCGTCCCCGCGTGGTAATTTACAAGGAGCCACCTTCGGCGGTCCGAGCGGGGGGAAGAAAAATCGACGGAAACGCGCGCGTTTTTCTACGCCGGTGAAAATGGAAAGAGCCCGAACGAGCGATCGTAGGCGCGTCCGATCTCCTCTCCTCTGCTCTCCGCTCCTCGCGCGGGTCCACGGGAGAGAAAGTCTGTCGACATCGATTACGTAGAGCGAGCTCTTGTTGGGAGCCGAAGGTCCCCTAGCTGTTCTTCCGCCGCGATGGACCAACGCCTCCTTTCGGTCCTGCAGCCCTCGCGGTTTCGCCGGCTCGTCATCGGCTGCGCGCGCCAACGGGAACGAATGCCCGAACGGGCGCGAAATCGCCCCGTGACCGCGGACAAATCCGCGGATACTCGACGGCGGCCAGTAACCCCGATACAAATAGTATAGTCAAGTCGGTCAACTTCCGATGGTCGAATACTGCCTGCGAAGATCGATAACGCGCCGTAACGTCTATTTATACGCGCCGACTCGCGTCGCCCAAGACAGCGGAGGATGTAATCTTCGATGTGTTCCAGATAAGGCCTTTACACGCCGTGGCGTCTCGCGCTTTTCCATCCATTCCGTCGTCGGCGCGATCGGCGTTGCCGATCTAACAATTTCCCGCGAAATTGAACCGATCGCGTTTGAACGACCATCGAAAGCGTCGGAAGTATCGTCGAGCGCGGTCACTCGAGAGCGCGGTATGGTACAAAAAGGTTGAAAAAATCCCCGCGAATTATGCGCGAGGGTGTGCGACGGCGGAGGGTGAAGAGTGAGGGAGATTATTTCGGGACGTGTCTCGTGGCAATTTCAATTCCCTCACATCCGTCACGCGGATTCGCGCATTCATATTCATGCGCGTCATTTATTATACGCGGCCGAAATTCCGATGGGAGTTAAATCCTATGGAAATCCGCGATTCACCCGCCGGTCGGTGCTTTTCCGCGCGCGCGGAACCGCGTCGCTTCGCGCGCGATCGTCGCGACGTTGTGTTATTCGCGTCCAAGGATATATCATCTCGTCTTGGATTAACGCGGGAAAAAAAAACTACGGAGGAGGAGATGTACCATCGCCCACGCGGATACTAATTGGTCTCGCGCGAACGCGATCCATCCGCGTCGTTCTCTCTCTTTTCCCTTTTTCTTTCCCCTGCCCGCCCCATCCGCGAACCGGATGTTGCCTCCGTGGCGCATAAATTATTGCAAGAATCTGCGGTAGCGCTATTGATCCGCAAGAGCTCAGGGCTCAGGATGCAGCAGCAGCAGGCGGCGGCGGTTCGCCCGCCGTGAATTCCCCCGTCGCCGACGATTCGCGTTTTCGTTACCCACGATACCCGGCCGCGCCGATTAGGCCGGATAGATCGTCGCCGAGTCATGTGTTCGACGAGTTATAACGATTTAAACTGGGACATGTGCCGTGGTGTTGCACAGAGAGAACTGCTCTCTCTCTTTCTCTTTCTTACTCACTCACTCGTCCTCGTTCTCTCTCTTTCCCTCCGTCTGGTTGACAATAAGGGAGAGCGACCCTTGCCGAGGAGGGAAACAGCTGTTGGTCGGAGGTGGAGAGGTATCGGACCGCAGGGCGAGAGAGACGGGCAGAGACTCCGGACGGGGAAGGAGGCGGGATGCCGGGAAAAAAAGAGGTTACCACCTGGCTTATGCTCGGCTGAAAACCGACGCCTGTATACCTGCCCGAGCATTCTTTTGTGCACGCACCCATTCCCAGCAGGCCGTGCGGCTCGCGGATACACAACTGCAGCACCTCCGGGTCGCACAATGCGCGCGACTCCGAAAACCGTGCGCCGAGAAGGCGAGACGGAGAGAAAGAGAGAGACAGAACGCACGTTTCGGGAATTGTCCCGGGAGATCGTCGGAGGGAAACTACGAGGAGAGTCCTTGGCGGAATCTTCTCGACGGAGGACCCGCCGAAGGACTCTCGAGCGCATGGCGAATCGTCCGTTCGTGCACCGCAGGTTCCGCCGGCGGAGGAGGCGAGGTTCTATTGACCTGAGGTTATTTCCCGCGACGATGGCGCGCACTCGAAGTCGAGGCGATATTTCAAGGCCGGTCGATTCCCCGCGCGAGCCGTCGTCGCGGGGTGCGTGGCCGATTTGCATAATTAATGTGGACGATTCATCGTCGGCGAGAGCAACCTCGGCTGTTGTTGTCCGCTGCCGGCGTTGGTGAACGAAGAATTCGGCGAGTCACGTCGACGAGGCTTTCTCGTCGTCGACGTGATTATGTCGAGTCGGTCCTCCCAGCATGAGGAGCATAACTAATGCTGTTTTTCGGCGTGACATCACGAACGTGCTTTGTTATTTTTCTCGGTTATTTACCTACATCGGGAAATCCGATATTTCCGTTCGTTGGGTTGGATTTTCCTAGCTATGAAGCTAGAAAACGATGGGAAAAAACGTTGGACAAAAATATTGGTGATTCCCGAAACGCTGAGAAGAACAATGATAATGTCTGAGCTTATATTCGGAACTGACCGTTTTTGCCCAAAAATCTTGCTACTCAGAGTATCTTGCCTTCAGAATACACTTAAGATCCGAATATACCTAACAGATGTCACGAAACTTCATTGATCTTCGCTCTAACGGTCAGTGCCGTGCGGCTCACGCTTTGTGAAAAATGACCGGCCCGGTCGGTCTTGCCTTTTCTTTACAAAAACATTTATTACAAAAGGTGATGCGACATAATTTATAACGGACTTAACTAAATTAGAAATTAAGGGATGAGGATGAATGATAGCGGGTATAATGCTAGCACACAGTTTAGGTCTGAAAAGCACGTAAAGCGTCTTGCAGTTTTTTCCTTGCGATAGCCACTCGTTCCTCTTGCCTCTTGAGATCCTCGTCCGCTATCGAGACTGCCTGAGAAACAAAAGGACGGCATCACTCGTCAGCCATAATACAAGATTGCTCCTGCAATAAATCGCGCTTCTCGTGCCAATTCGCTCAACCATTCGATTATACCTGTACAAGTGGCTGCTCCGGATTAAGAAACACGCCGGGGTTCTTCTCCAAAGCTGCTTTCGGGCCCGTTTGTCCCGTGACTGCATTAGTGGAGACGTGCAACGCAGTGGCCACGCTCTGCAGTAGGGTCTCTTCCGTGATATTCGGTCCTACCGGCTTCAAGTTCTTCGGCAGGTCCATCGCGTCGAATTCGTAGCCGTTGGGATCGCAGGCCCGCAATCTCTCTAAACGTTTCTCCCAGAACAGCTGAAAAGTCTCAACGTTGGTTAATGATACATTGCCAATCGAGTGGTTTGCACACGCTAATCTACTAATTAAACGATGCAAGCCAAAAAAGAGAGAGAGAGAGAGAAAGAGAGGAAGATAGAGAAATAGATAGAGAGACAGATAGAGAGGAAGTAAGAGAAAGCACACAAATGGTCATATCTATGTATAATATGTAAGAAATTATATCAAAAATCAAATTGAGAGATTCGTTCTTGCAGTACACGTATATGTACATGACAACCAATTTTCTAATACCACATAACTTTCACACTTTCTAATACCACGTATATATACATGATAACCAATTTTCTAATAATAATAACACATAAAGTAACTTATAATCGAGTTGAAACAAAAACCAGGATGATGATAATTACAAAGTCCCGCTCTCTTCATGTGTCCTTTAAATATTAATACACGATGGCATGTCAACATCGTTAACACACATCACATTACTACAAAGAAAAACATATAACAGAAGAAACACAAATTATTGACGATGTCATGATGAGCATGGGTGGAGTTACCTGCTTAGGCTTATCTTGGGAACCATATTTGCCATCGGTTTTATCGCTTCCTTCCTAAAGCAATGATTTGACAGTTGTATCACGTGAATTTACAAGGGCAGGTAACATTAGAATTGTAGGGTATACCTATAGGTGTATTTATATGGGCTGTACGTGCGCAACACTACTGGGGTGTCGTTTAACAGTGTCGTGAGAACAGCGTGGGATACAGTACAGTGCGGTAAGTATCGATTTATTGACAAGACATTGATCATGACAGCTCGGATTATACTCGGATCAATTGAGACCGACGCGCGAACTAACCTGCTTCGGTTTATCCTGACTGCTTTGCTTCATGTCCTTCACCTTCCCATCCTGCATCTTGTAGATGGTCACCGGTTGCTTGAAAATCGACGCGGTTTGCCTGATCGGTGGTACTAACGTCGCGTCGTTTCTCCCTCGGCTGAAACAAAGACAGAGCGTCGTCAGTTTAGAGGTTAGCTCGCTCGACATAGAGGTTATGATCATTCCCGCGTCCTGAACTACGCCGGACCGCGGGGATTTCCTCGAATTTACGAAGGTGTATGAAAATTATCGATCGAACGGTCCCACACAACGCGACACGAAGCTCCCCCGAGATCATTTTTATTGAACGTACCTGTAAAAATAAACATCGACCTTCCCCGATGACGCCAACTGGTTCTGGCTCTTCCTCGACGGCTCCTCTCGCGGCGGCCAATTGATCGGCAAAGCCGACGGGCATTTTCTTTTCTCCACTGACATATTCATCCTGGAAAGTGTGTCTTTTCACTGTATTCGCAAATTGTATTTACTTCCTCGTACGACCCGCTCGTCACGATTTGACAGTCCGATATAAACTCATCGACGGGAAGATCGCAGCGCTCTCTCTCTCCGCAATGAGTTCCGAAATTGACGAAAACTGCGGGACCGTTTTACTAATTTTCGCCTGCTTCAAAATTAGCCGGAAAGAATCACAGAGAAATTTCTCCGTGTTGCTGAATATACGAAAAGTCTGCTTTATTATTGATAAAACTGTTGATAAAAACATACGCGCAACTAACTCAGGTAAAAATACACAGCATACAATTATAACAAATAAAAAAGTATATATATACAAAATTATAAACGAAATTGACAGATACATAATCGATCCATAAGTCTAATAATTATACAGATGAAAGTACAAAGCAGGAATTTGCCGATGGACTACCTGACGCCATCTGAGGATGCTGAAGAGAAGTTCGTTTTCAAAAGGATTCGGCCTCGACTGAAATGGTTCGAGTCTCTACTATACGATCATTAGTTCTGAAACCTCCGCTACGAACCGCCACTAACTTATGTGAAAAATCGAAGTAGTACAACTCGACGATAACTTAAACGCACTTTAATTTCCCAAGTAGTACAATTCAACAATAGGTCAGACACACTCTCGTTCTGTACTGAAAAATAGATCAAGTTCAACGAACTGTAATTTTAGTAAAAATAACGAAGTGCTCCGTAAAAGCATTTTTTGGTTTAAAATCCCCAGTATTTAGAAACATTAATATTTGTCACTGTTCTTCATCGAAATATAACGAGTTAAATAAAAAACGATTTCATTTCTTTTTATTTTTTCTAAAAAACTTCTATTTTCAGATGTTTTTACGATGAAAATTCACTCGTACATAAAAATATGGAAAATGCGTCTCGAAGAATAAACTTTAAGCTTCACATTCATTTGTAAACGAATGTCACACAGTAATTCTTTTTTGGCTGTGTGACTGATCAAAGGCAAAACGCTATTTTTACTTTAACATTGAGTAACATGGCAAATAAAAATCATACCGCAATCTGTGAATACACAAATTAAAAAGTCCGCACTTTCAAACGGTATGTACGTCAATTTAATACAATTTTTCGTACCACAATGCAACTCAAGCTTCGTTAAACATTTTTACATTTTACATTTCTTGATATATATTCAAATAACATCGTAGAATATAATTGGACATTATATCTATAAATATGTTTAAGAAAAATAGAAACTTCAGGCAGTAAAATACTTCTTGAAGCACCTTGTTAGCATTATTATTTCCTAAGTTTCAGCCAGTTGAATTTCATCTATTTGCAATCGAGAAAAGTAATCCTACAATTTCGTTACACAATATATGTAATAACAAAAGCTATCGACATGAGGATCAACGTAACTTGAAAATATCGAAGAGATAATCGATAATTTCTAACAAAAAAGAAAGGAAAAATTTCAGATTTCAGCTAAGTCGGATTTCGACTGTCAATTGAGAAGTTACGAGGTTTCCCCAAACAACACGTATGTCTAAAAGACATCTTTTAGACGTCATATTATTTAAAGACGTCCTTAGGACGTCTTAATGTTATCTAGGTCCGAATGCCGAGTTACGTTCAAACAACACACGACTTGCGGGATCGGGGAAACGGGCTGGCGAAAATAATCACGTTGAAATAGATCCTTTTATATATAGATATAGAGGATTTAATTGCCGAAAGAAACAATTTTTTTTTTCGCGTAGCTATAGGAACAACTTGAACAGTGCTTGGAAAAAGATTAACGCTGTCTCGTCTTCCGTTTATTACGAACGTATTATTTTCTCACCCACGGCTTTCGTACGCTTTCGCGGAGTGCAAAATGCGAGCACGGAGACGCAGTTCGACGTGTACACGACGGTACACGATTATTACGGGAGGGGGGAGGGGGGAATTGTCGGATGGATATGGGACTTGGATGGGGGGAAGAGGAGGAAAAAATACGGAAAATGGGGCACAATCAATCGTCGCGATTTGTGGCGATCTTTTCGTCGCGCGCAGTTTTCTGTTACTTTTTTTCTTCTTCTTTTCACGTTTTTTTTTTCTTTTTGTCCACGGTGCGTGTGTGTGTGTGTGTATGCGTGTATGTCTATGTGTGAGAGTGTACGTTACTTCGCTGTAAAAGAATATCTCGATTCTGTACAAGTCGATTGAGTTTAGAGATAATTAACTATTGAGTCTTCTTGAGGTATCGTTGTTACTATTGGTCTATATGATCCGGAGCTGTGCTCGTCCAAAATCGCGTGCGTGCGTGCGTGCGTGTGTTACGTGCGTTCCGTCGTACGGTTCGTTTCGTTCGTCGTCGTGCGTACGTGCGTGCGTAAAAGTGCGTGGCGTAAAAAGCGCGTGGCGTTCTCTCCGACCGCGTCTCTTATGTCGTGATTCCCCCCGTGTGTGTCGCGCCAAGTTTCCCCCGGTTTCTGTTTCTCCCGTTTTCTCTCAATTTATTTTATCTCTCTTACTCGCTCTTGTCTATCGTTTTGAATCGCGGCAGTATATATGGCATTTTTGAATTTCGGACGATCACAGCGGTGTCAACGTGTATGTGCCTTCCTGTAACAAAATATAAATCTCCATTACGCATCACCCGCTTTCACCATACGGTTTCGAATAATAATGGCGCTAGCTACCCTAAATCCAAGACGCACCTCCGTCTTCGTCGCCGCACCGAAGAGAGCGGCAGCGTTTTAAAGAGTCAAGTGTCTCGCCGTTTCTTCTCCTTATTTCTCTCTCTCTCCCCCTCTCTCTCTCTCTCTCTCTCTCTCTCTTTCTCTCTCTCTCTCTCTCTTATTCTTTTGTCTTCTCGTCGATCTGCAGCGGATACAGACGCGCGGGTGCATGCTCGATCGCGCCCGACCGCTTTTGCACGATGGTACTTTTTTTTTCCTTATGATTTTTTTTTCTTTTATATAAGCCTAGGGTCACGATGAGTAGTCACAAAAATACTTTATTGAATATTCTGCAAAATCCGCCCACGTACGTGGTCCGCTCGCGTGTTTATTACGCGTATGCGTGTGCGTAGTAATGTATGCCTATTATGGCAGTCGAGTACTCGCAGACGATGTACACTGTGTTATGTATATCAAGAAAGAAGCCGCGGCGCAGTAAGTTTCCGCGCACAACCGCGTAGAGCTCCCTCTCTTTCTCTCCTCCTCGCTCTTTCTCTACTCGTCAAGATTATTTATTACCGATCTCGTTTTGTTATACCGCTCGTAACGGGCGTATGAAAGCCAGTTTTCCCTAATTACTCGCATGTCAATCTCGATCAAAACACGCAAGACCGGAGAGCATTCTCATTCTCTCTCTCTCTCTCTCTCTCTCTCTCTCTCTCTCTTTCCCCTCGCGTTTATCACTGTCCCGTCTCGCAATCTCTGTGTCTTTCTCCCCTTATCTCCGCGCGCGACCAGTTTATAAAATCTCAATTACAATAAAGTCTTAACGGCAGACGCAACAGTGCCATATATATATTTATATATATATATGTATATATAATTATGAAAGAATCGTAATTAAAAATCAAAGCGATAAGTACAAATTATATGCTCCTCTTGTCGGTGGTAGAAATGTCAAAGATCACCATTTTTACGTCGGCTTTTTCGTCCAGCGTGATCGATGCTTATCGGTTTCTTCATAGCCCTAGTTTTACCGTCGCTATCTGACGGTAAACGACGGTTCTACGTGTACCTGTGGTGTAATGTGTGTCAATTATGTGTATGTACGTATGTATATGTGTGTTCGTGTGGATGTCTTTCTTTCCGTGTGTGCTCAATATATTATGTATAATTCTGCGACACAACATACATCCCTACTTTGACAAGTCTACGACACTAGAACATCAGCGTTCCACACACGTGTTCAGATATTTCCGTCGGGGCGCCGTTCGTTCCGCATCGTCGATCGACGACGACCATGCGCTCGGCGCCCGCGACGAAAATGCACGCACTCGACTCGTCGAAACACTCCGTCTTCTCTTCCTCCGCGCATGCAATCGCACGCAAATCTACAATCGCGAAGATTCTATATAACATATTACACAAGCGACCTCGTGTCAACCTCCCACGCGATAATACAGTCCGGGAGGTGCGACCTCACACATGCCTCTCTCTTTCTCTCTCTAACTCTAATTCTCTCGCTCTCTCTCTCTCTCTCTCTCTCTCTCTCTCTCTTTCATTCTTTTTCTCTATCATCGTGATCCCATTCGTGTTTCTCGTTCTACTTACACACGCGCGATCATAGACTCTATACAATCTTACGCAGCTAACACGTTCCGTGTCATACATTCTTCTGCTCTGCTTTCAAATATATTTATATTTTCGCGATTCACACTAATTCGGGACTCCCGCGCGTTGCAGAAGCGCGCGCGCGAGAGAGATTCGTCTCGGCTGTCCTCGTCTCTCTCGGGCCTATGGCGACCGTTGAGTCCCGTTGTGTCCGCATCCTCTTCCATCGTCGGAGATTCGCGAGAAAGGGCCAAATTTGCATCCCTTTCGATTTCACTCAGCTTGCGAGTCAGTCACACATAAGTGAGTCAGAAAAAACTTGATACGGTCGACGTTGCACGAGTATTCGAGTACACCGCCGAATCGATGGCTCAATATATCACTTCGTAAACGGTGGCTTTCTTGTCGCCGGATCCTGTCACGATGTATTTGTCGTCGGTGGAAATGTCGCAGCTCAACACCGACGATGACTCTTTCGACTGGGAATGAGAAAGAAAAACGGCAATGGTCAGTATCGAAACTGGCAATTGCGAGATATACAGTCCCTGTCTAACAAGAGCGTGACCGACGTAACTTTTACAAATGACTTATTATAAAAATATTATACATGTATTACGCAACACTTCAAAGCTATTGATCCGATTCGCCTCGATCTACCCTACACTCCGGTGCTCATCGTTAACTATGTCGTTCTCTAACGAAAGTCGCACAATCATAGGGGCCCTCTGTATAATACGTCGTAGGGGAAGAACCCTTCCACCTGCTCGTTCAAAAGTTTTCGATGTAACGGTTTTCCCGGTCACGCTCTTATTAAACAGACTGTAGATTCGCGCAACGTTCATCGACGACCCACCTGGAATATCGAGGCGCCGTACGGCGTGCGCCACGCGTTCAGCAGGTTGTCCTTGCCGGTGGAGACGAACCACTTGCCGCAGGAGGCGAAGCGCAGCGAGAGCACGCAGGATTCGTGCAGGTGCAGCTGATATTTGTCGGGCTTGGTAGCGTGGAGCACTTCTACGTTCGAGTTCTCCATACCGACCGCCAGCCACTCGCCGGTGGGGCAGTAGCCTAACGAGAATATCTGCGAGGTGAAGTCGTGCTGCTGCAGCTGCCTGCCCTCCCGCAGGTCCCACGAGCGCACGGTGTTGTCGAGACCGCCGGTCCACAACTTCGAGCCGTCGGCGGAGATGTCGATGCAGGAGGCGCCGTCCGTGTGCCCTTGGAACTGGCGCACCAAAGTCTGATTCTGCAAGTCCCAGACGGCGATGTTGCCGTCGCTGCAACAGCTGAAGCAGACCTTGGAGTCCGGCGAGATCGCGAGAGCGTAACAGGCCGGCGCCGACGACGTCAGTTCCGCCTTGATCCTCGGAGTCGGACTGGCCAGGTCCCAGATGCTGAGGTTACTCGCCTCGCCGCCGACTATCAGGGTCCGTCCGTCCGGCAAAAGCTTCACCGACCTGGTTAACGAACGGCGCGGTCGTTACATTAATCCCGTTAAATACCGCCACTTATGCGCGCTTTTAAATAATTATTACGCTCCCGTATGCTGCGAGTGAACCGGCCGGTGATAGTAGCGGCGGAGAGACGAAGAGAGACAGCATGAGCAGGAGGAGGAGGAGGAGGTAGAGATAGCAGAAGAGGTAGAGGAGGAGAGGAGGGGGTAAATGCATACGGAAAATGCGTGCGGTAAATCGATGCGCGCCGCTGCTCCGGCATGATATACAGCCGGCGGACACGACTAAATGTCATCCAGAATTCAGTCGGAAATTAATTACATCGACCGTATAGCGTTTGGGAGTTAATGTGTCACGAATACGAATGAAGACACGTGTTACCACCGACCTAATGTAGTTGTCCCGTTGCAGGCAATCCAGCTGCGAAACGGGCTTCGCGCTGCCGCTGCCGCCCTGGCTGATGTCCCACACCTTGACGCATCCCTTGCCGCCGGTATAAACATACTTGGTCGGGTTCGAGATCGTCACTGCGCAGACCACTTCCCCGTGGGTGAGCGTGTTTATCTGACGCGCATGACGCGGTATCCCGGGAGCCGCTAGAGCGTCGGGTGGAAAAGGCACCGGCTGCATCTGACCTTCGCTAGACACGTGGAAACTGTACGCTCTGTAAGGCAGGAGAGCCAGAGAAAACAGGAGGTTAGTTACTCTGAGATCCTCCGGGGACGTCAAATCTTACGGAGTTTTCTCTCATTCGCACCGGAAAGAGCCTCGTTTGCAGCTCTCCTGGCTCACTCGGAGATCCGGCTGGACGCTTGGGATTATTCCCGGAAAGATCGACATTCTCGCGGAGAGAGTAAACGAAACGACTAGTTCGCGAATATCACCGTTGCTTTGGGACGATTTGAAACCGGCGAACTCAATAATGTATTGGAATGAGCACTGCCTTTGTTTCTGGCAAATCACCTCGTGCCGAGAGAGTACTGAGTATTTGTCTTATCTTAGCCCATCTAGACTATATAGCATGTTAGTAAAACAGAGAGCGATATATTACTTAAACGTGACCTTTGTCGCACAGTCTCTCTCACTGGCCACGCCAGTGCTCATTCCAGCATGTTATTGGGTTTACTGTTTCGAACAATACATGTTGAGGAATAATCTGAAACGGTTGTCACCCCGGGAAGTCCCTTCACACAGGCGTAGATGGACGATTAGTTGTTGGAGGAGGACGGGGGCCAGGAATGTTTTTCTACAAGTTCCTCGAAAGTTTCGTTAATCTTTCCTTTCTTCCCATTTCCCAAACCCCGTCTCTCTCTCCCCCCCCCCCAATTATCGTTTATCTGCGCCTATATAAAAGGAATCCTGCGGAGAAACGACAGTTTAAGGTCATTCCTGTCCCTAAAAAGGTGAAAAGACTACTCTGTACTTTTAACGATAGGGGCCACAACACCACCTTTTCCTCTAAACGTCTTGCTAGGACCATGAATAAGCCCTACCTTTCCTTGAAAGGGTTAAAAGTAACAAGATAGACTCATTGGGATGTTAACGAAACGTCGAAAAGAAATTGACAAGGAACCCGACGCTAGCCCCGAAGCCAAATGAAGCATTTCTCCGCGGAAGTCTAAAATATCACAGAGATAGAGAGTAAAATACTTACGGTTTGCCACCCGGAACACCGAGCGGCCCGAGAGGCGCTCTCATGCTGGCGTGGGGGTCGTAGAGCTGCTGAAGTGGCGGTCTCGCCGGGTAGCCGTTGAGCGTCCCCGGAGGATAGCCTAGCATGTCCACATGGGGACCCGCTGGCGGGTGGTGCGGTGGATAATGCGGCGGATAAGGACCGACCACGGAGGCTGAGACCAGCGGTTTGCTGGAACTCGATGGCTTCAGGCCGCCCGAGCCGGAGCTACTGCCACCTACGCCGTGGTCAGTCGGCACGATTATTTGTTTCATGGTTCGCGCCGCCTTTTCGTTTCGCTTAATGAAGTGAGAAAATGAACTCACGAGCGAACTCACGAATTCGAATAACCGCAGACGTACCGGCAGACGTCGGTGTGACTGGCTTTGAGATCGGTGTGGTCGGTTTCTCGCGCTCCTCCATCTTCTTCGCCGAAGGGGTACTAGCGTTGCTGCTAGTGCCGCTCCTGGGTGACGGCGGCGGCACTTCCTTCTTCACCTGGCCGCTCAGGGGTACCGAAGAAGGCCCGAGCTTGTCGAGGCCGTTCTCCCGCGGTGAGGAGGTGCCGTTCGCCGCCGGACTGGTCGGGCCCTCGCTCGCGTCGTCCACCACCAGGTCCTGGTCGCTCTTTTCACCGTCGCTTTGCTGCCGGACAGAACGTGCACGGCTTTATTAAGGAGAATCGCGGATCGCGCAACACGGAGCACCATCTCGGATACCTACATGGCCAATGTCCTTGTCCTGTTCCTTCTTCATCTTCTTGAGGTGCAGGTGCTCGTGGTGCTGCGGATCGGGCGTGCTGCGGGGCCTGTTGTACTTCTCACGTTCGGCCGGCGATATCGAGTTCCTCTGCAACAGACAGAACGGTACCGGTTCCGGTTAGAGACGCTTTTAACGAAGTCGTTCGACGAGCACGGTTTCTTTATCTCTTCTATCCTCTATCCTTTTCCCTACCCTCTCTCTCTCTCTCTCTTTCTCTCTCTCTCTCTCTCTCTTTTTCTCTCTAATTCTCTCGTTTTTTATATCAACGTCGACCTTATCGACGCGCGATCCGCTCGCTCGTCGCGCGCGGTTAATCCGATTACGGAGATATCGGGGGATTTATTCGAGTCGACGACGATTTTTACGGGCCGCGGCGCGATTCCACCTCTTCGATGGATTTTCCAGCGGAGAAGTATCGGCAACGGGGGATTTCTTGCGGCCGAGAGGGCGGTCGAGCGTCGGAGGGTAAGGTAAGAGAACGACTGAATTCCTTCCTCCTTCGCGATTAAATAAAACGACTCTCCCGTCGGACGGGCGGAAGAGGCATCGACGGAATTACTTATCCCTCACAGCCCGTTCGACCTCCATTCGTCTCCGGAGCGAACGAAGAATAATAGAGCGGATCGTAAGGTTCCGCTTTTTCTCCCCATCGTATTATGCACGACTGCCAAGAGAAATATCGGCAGTCGATTTTCCGAAACGCGGAAGTACACAGTCCGGCGTGATAGCCGCAACGTCGTCATGATGCGCGAATATGGTAGACACGTGGCGCGTGATCGAGAAATTCGATTGTAATTAATACGTTGCTTTGTAGACTTGCATTTGATTAATTCCCAGGAGTCAAGTTCTCTCATCGGACCATAGGTCGTGCTGCGAAGCGTAGCGAAAAAGTGCTCAAACTGTTTTGAAACCGAATATACATTGTACGGAAGACTCTTAATGCTTCCCATTCCCTAGGCATGGTGCCATCGGAAATTTTCAATCAGGAACATTAATGTGCGAATATTCGTGCATGATGACTGTTCGTAATGTGATGAATCGGCAACGATGTTACAAAGCAGCAGTCATAATGCACAAATACTCGAAAATAGCGCGCCTAACGTCCAGAGAGTAGAACTGCGGAGTCTGATGTAGTCAGCAGATTAAAAGTTGCGGCATTTTTTTCGAATTTCAATGCTTTCCGTGAATAGGAGAATTTGTTTTCTAGTAATTCTAGGAAATACATTTTCCAATTGGAAAAACGAAGTTACAAAACTCATCACAATAAAAAATGTTGCAACTTGTAATCCACCGACGATAGTCGGAGTAATATATGCCATTCCCTAGACTGAAAATTACATGACTTTCAGCTTTATACATAATCCATGACGTTGAAAATTGCGCAAGTAATCCTATAGCAAGAATCGTATCGGCTCTACTTATGACGGTTTTAACTTCATATGTTAAGATTAAAAATTGTGCAATTTTTTATCCAGAGAAAGGTATAATCATATAAAAGGTATAATCAATAAAGTTACGACATTTTTCTCGATGAGTTTCGCAACGCGTCTCGTATCAAACAGGAAAATGTATCTCCCGTGAATTATTAAAAAACAAATTCTCTTATTTGACGCGGGATATGTTCCGAAATTTATAAAAAAAAAAAAAAAGATTCTGCAACCTTATCGTGACTGATCATACACGATAGGCGACTGTACAAGTGCAGCGCGGACTCCTGTGCGTTTCGCGCACAGACTTTGCTTTATCGCGATTCCGCAAATTCGCCCGGTGTTTTACACGTCCGACGCGGATACCGTTCTCCAAGTAGCGAACGCGAGGAATCGGACGGTAATCGACGAGCGACGCGAGGATCGATACCTGATAGACAATCTCCGAACTCGTCTTCGACTTCGACCAGGCGAACGAGAAATCGCCAAAGCGAGAGAGAATTTCCGAGGGAGCGGGAAGAAAAAAGAGAGGGCGAAAATGCTCTTCGGAAGGGCGCCGTTCAAGATGTCGGCGAGTCAGGTCGAGTCTTCCGGCTCTGCTCTCCGCTGAGCGAGTCGCACGAGATATCATCGCAGTCGAGAAGTTTTACGAGCGGCAGTTTCGTCGTCGTTACACACGACAGGGCGTCGCGTACCGTCCGCATGCCTTCGTGAGCGCGCCGGTGGCTCTCACCCTGCCCCCCGATAACTACGCGCCCCATCTTGCAACCCCGTAAACCATCCCCGTCGCATCCCCTCGCAGCCGCCGCCACCCCAGTGTCGAAGTAAATCTCCTCTTCTCAATTACCCTTCGTCCCTCGCAACTACCTTCTCTCTCTCTCTCTCTCTCTCTCTCTCGGTCCATTACTTCGACGCCTCGGTATCATCTTCCCCACTGTCGGGCGAACACCGCTCTCGAAAGCACCTCGAGTGGAAGGAAATAAAAATAGGAGGTCGGGGATAGCTCGCGAGTGTATCTCCGGGCGATTAGTGTGCGGGATAACATCGGAGTGTATACATCATCGCCGCGTCGGGTCTCGTCGTCGGAGGATCGGGAGGAAATCGCTCGGGAGAATACGTCGGCGCGACGTATGAAATCCCGCGACACGGAAAAATCAAGCGAGCGAGTATTCTCGTGTTTCGCGACGCGGTACGGCCACGTCGTCGTGAGAGAATGGGAACCGAAGACAAAAGCCTGGGGGGGGGGGGGGGGG